GGTTTAGGGTTTTAGGGCTTTAGGGTTTAGTGTTTAGGGTTTAGGGTTTGGGGTTTAGGGTTTGGGGTTTAGGGTTTAGGGGTTTAGGGTTTAGGGTTTAGGGGTTTAGGGGTTTAGGGGTTTAGGGTGCAGGCTTGCATGCTATCCCCAGAGTGGCCGCCAATAACACTTACGTGTACTTGCCATGAGGGCTGCTGGACCCACTGCCGGAGCCTGTCAGGAACGGCGAGCACAGTGTACTGGTCCAATGATGCGGCTTTCGCTAAATATAGCGGCTTTATTTTAGGGGTCCTTATTATATGGTATAATATGCCCCAGAACCCTATTCTAATTATTAAGGCCCCTTCATTACCTCCTCTCTGCACTTACGCTGGCCTTTTGCGGCGAGAAGGTGGGCCAGGCTTTCTGCGGAAGTTCGGAGCTGAAACCCTAAACCCTAAACCCTAAACCCTAAACCCAAAACCCAAAACCCAAAACCCTAAACCGTGGCCAGAGCCTCCGGAGGGCCACACTCAGACGCCATCTGAGGACCTCCTCGACATGAGCAGCCATCCCACAGCACGTTTGCTCTTAAAGCCTGAGAGTATAAAATAGGGGCCTATACTACTATAGGGGTTCCTTATTATAATTATAGTATAGTGGGGCCCCTACACCCTATTCTAATCATTCAGGCCCCTACATTAGACCTTCACAGCAACATTGAGAGGATTTGAAACCTTCAGATTTCAAACCCCATGCCCCCAAAGTCCCTTGAACCCTAGACCCTATAAACACTAAACCCTAGACCCCATAAGCCCTAAACCCTAAACCCTAGAACCCAAAAGCCGAGCTCCCGAAACCCTATCATTTAGGGGTCCTAATAGTTAGAATAGGGTTTGGGGTATAGTATACTACTATTATTATAGAAAAGCCCTAAACCCTAAGCCCTCAACCTGAGCCGAATAATCCCAAATCTAATCGAAATCTGCCTTCCTCACCACAAGGCCTTCTCTGGTCGCCTTAACCTACGTACTTGACTGTGGAATCCTAAATTGCAGATTAGGGCTTATAATCAGAGCCTTGTAAAAGTGGGCTATGGTAGTTTAGAGCAGGGTGCATGTCCTGCGCGGGGTGGCTCAGGGATTTAGAGAGCTCACTGCTTCTGGTGAAAGGCTCTAGGCTCTGGGGTGCTGGTGTTTAGGGTTTGATTACGATGGCTGTTTCGATTACTAGTGCTATTGCGAGTACTTTTACTAGTACTTACGGCTGATGATATAGATCCTGCATTGCCCATAACAATGAATATACCATAATTCCCATAGTTTAGGGTCCTTAAGGTATTGCAGGATGTTTATCATCAACAGTACCCTAAACCCTACACCCTAAACCCCTCAACCCCTGACCCTAAACCCTAGGGGATGGCCCCGAGCAGGCACGAAGGGACGCCGAGATGGCCGCGAAGTTGGCGGAGCTGCAGCCGGGGTTTGGGTTTAGGGTTTCGAGTTTAGGGCTTTAGGGTTTAGGGGGTGTTTGAGGTGTCAGGCTGGGAGTTTAATGTAGGGGCCTTAATTGGAGTAGAGTTCCTGTAAGGGTTCCTTTGTGATGTAGGGGCCTTAAAAGTTTGAATAGGGTGTGGGGCCCATTATACTATGTTCATAATAAGGAACCCCAAAAAGAATGCTTGTAATTATTCATGCCCCTATATTAGGACTTGTCTAAGCACTAAACCCTACAAACCCCGTAAACCCTATAAGCCCCATATACCCTATAGACCCTATGGGGTGTAAACACTATACACCATATAAACCCTAAACCCTATAAGCCCTAAACCCCAAAAGCTCGAATTACTCAAGCCCAAGCCCTAAGGCCAAGTCCCAAGCACCTGCTTCAGGTCTGTAGACCTAACCTTCAACCCTGCGCCACAAACTCTACTTTTAACCCTTTATAACCTACAGCCTTAAAGCGTTAAACCCTAAACCCTACATCTTACTTAAACCCTAAACCCTAAACCCTGCATCTTACTTAAGCCCTAAACCCTAAACCCTACATGTTACTTAAGCCTTAAAGCCCAACTATTCAACCCTAGGCTCCAAGCCCTAAGCTACATCTCCATGGGCCTTCTTTGGAGGCAAGACTTCTCACACTAAGGAAGGGGTTCAGGGTTCAGGGTTTCGGGTTTAGGGTTTAGGGAAAGGGATAAGGGTGTGAAGGTCGCGGCTGCCACAAACCTGGGACCATGGTCACCTTTGTCATGGCTGCTGTTACCTTGGGGTCATGGACAATGCTACACGGTTTAGAGTTGATGGGGTTTAGGGTCCAGGGTTATTACTATTCTTACTGTTATAATTATTATAGACATTATTGTTACTGTTCTGGGAATTAGGACTTACAAACCCTAAACCCTAAACCAAACCCTAAAGGGTGCCCTAAACCCTAAAGGGTGGATCGGTTTTAACTCCCGGGCCCGCATGCCTCGAGGAGATCGAAGGCAGAAAGAAAGACCGCACCAGCGGCGTGGAAGCCGTCATGGCGAACTGGGCCAAGGGCAAAGTCAAGGCGGTTTAGGGGTTATACCTGTAGTCTCCATTGTAGTCCTTCTTTAAAGATACTTTATAAAATCCTTAATATAAAATTGGTTAAACCAAAACAAGGAACTACAATGGAGACTGCAGGTAGGGTTGAGGGGTTGCCCCAAGGGTCCAAAGGACCCAATAATGAGGTACTTAGGTTTCGGATAGTAGTTATGTAGGTTACTATTTGGTGGAGTATTTGATTATTAGGTACTTGGGTAAGGGTCCAAGTTCTAAGGTTTGAGATTCAGGATTCCATAAGGGATCTTAAGGGTGTTTAGGGTTTGGCACTTAGAGTTGCGTTTAGGGTTTAGGGCTTTTCCCGGTTCAAGGGTTTACCCTAAGCCCTAAACCCCTAAACCCCCTAAACCCCTAAACCCCTAAACCCTACACGGTTTGGGATTGGAAGCTGTTGTCTTCGCGCTTAGGGTTCAGGGTCGTGAGGCTTCAGGGTCCGAGAGGTCAAGAAAGGGTTTAGGGTTTAGGGT